ATTCTTGATTAACATGCTTGAAATATCCACATTTTTTCTCCCTTCTCACAATTTGCTATTTTGTAAACATTTTCCTAAGCTTCACCTAACAAAGTCTCTGAATGTTGCTATAAATTTGCAGTTATAAACCACAGCGTTTGTTGGAGCACTAGACATAATGCCAAACCAGAAGACCGCTACATAGTCGTTAGCTTAAACTTTAATAATGCGAGTTTGTTTAGCTCCATCATATTAAATTATGTCGAACCTTAATATCGATTCAAACTCGAGTTAATACTCTGCAAACTTGTACAAGAAGAAAAAAAAATCTGTATACAGATTCGAGGGTTAAAGACACTCGTTGGCAATAAATTTATGTTGCGTCAAGCTTATTTCGGATGTCATTAGGAGAATGTAAAGTAGATAGCAAATTTGCCTTCGAGATAGATGGCTTATGAGGCTTCACAACACAACTATAAATATTAATATACCTTGAACGTCGTTTATCCAAATGTACAAACTTAAACAAATTGAGTTCACAATGTGACAAGACTAGAAAATTTAAAAAGAAAATTCTTCCTTAATCCGAGTCACATAAAAACTAAAATTAGAACGATAATTCATTTATTCTGGTGTTGTAGATCTAGATTTCTTAGTGCTGAAAATAGCGCAATTACCGTCTTATCTAAATCCTGGATTAACGTGCACCAGTATTTCACAGGTTGCGTCTTTAGATTTAGTTTAATGGCCTAATTAGAGCATCTAGGTGTGCACTCAAATCATGCCAGGATTACAAACAACATATGCTTAAAATTAGCAACAACATTGATTTGAATTCATTATTATGCATATAAAATACCGCATTGTTATCTTAATCATTCCTCATTATTATGTAAACGTATTTTTGCTAAAATATTCTGATTAAGTTAGTTAAATTAGAAACGTAAACAATTCTCTTTTATTCATTTTATTATTCACCAAACACGCTAACTTTTAAATAAATATGACCAACCTCATTTATCAGGAGTATTTAAAATTTTAAAAATGTTTATACTCTCAAAGCTGTCAAAAAACTGAGCGATAAAAAGCGGCCTGTTAAGACCTCTTAACAGTCCTGTTGCCTAATTGTCTTTTTTTTTAATTAATCATTTCTAAGTACGGTTGAGTGACATAAAGTTCTAAAGCAAGCATTAGAACAGTTGACCTCATTTTTTACTACTATCAAACATTATCACTGACTATCATTGTCAAACTCATCACTGTATATTTTTTACAAGAGAAAAGTCAATAATTTGAAATTGTCATCAATGTTGATTTCACGTTAATCCTTGATTTATGTATTTTTTTGATGATTAAAGTATCTTGTCTCCAATAGTATACTACGTTTCAAAATGATTGACATCTCGGTAGGTTATGATTATGAAAATTTAAATTTAAGGTGGCAACATTTGTACTTTGAGAGTTCTAGGTTGTTCATTTTTGTACGATTGCACCCACTAAGGTTGAAAATACGTTAATCTTAAAATTTGTGACAATTGTCGCTTTTAATAGATTTTGTGCTTTTTTTCTCCTATTTTCCCTTCTGTTCGACGTTTATTTCTTTAAGAAAACCTGTCTTTTTTAAGACAAATTTTTCTGAATATTTTTTTTTACTAAGAAAAGTTTTAAGACCGACAATGCTAAGACAATCTTTACCTCATCTCACTCAAAGAAAACGAGAAGCAGCTTAACGAATTTTTCAAAAAGTCTAATAATTCCAATAAAAAGAAATAATGTTTGAATATTTATTTTACAAAATGTAACTGTAAATTCCACTGCTAGTTAATAAATAATAGTTTCTTGCTTATTCTGCTTTCCTTCATTAGGCACATTACATCCATTCAGTAAATGTTCAGTTATCTCACTCACCTTTCCACACATTTTACACCTCTCTTCGTCTCTTCGGGTTCTAATAAAAACTTACACTCCCCCAATTTCCACACTGTTTTGTGCGCACTTCAGAATTTTGCCATTATTCTCTTCTATTTCACATTCTCGTTTTATACAGCATATTCTTCCCTATATATGCACTTTTACTTCCTTGCAGTACCTTACATTCTGATCTTCTTTTCGATCTTTCCTCAAACTTCAGTTTTTTTCCCCGATTCAATTCCCAACTTTCCTCTTTTGTTCTTATATTATTTTTTCAGACAGAATTCAACACTAATGTCATTTTTAAGACGTAACTTTTTTAGAACTAAAATTAAAGTCTGGTTTACAGTCTCAACGCCTACCAAGATGAACACGTAAATTAAAAAAAACATCTAAAGTAGATTTCATTGAAATTGGCATAATAGGTGGCTATGGAATTTCGTATTTAAGTTTGTAGCCCTGCGCATGTCCCTGATATAATAGCTGATGGGGTTTTTGTTTTTCTTTGATTACTTACCTACATGGTTTATTGAACTGACATGACTGACATTTGTATTAATTTTTTCACTGTTTTCGTTACTTGTTTGTTATTCCCACTATTTTTTCAAATTATAATCTAAAGTAGTTCTCTTCAGAACCCCAGATTTAAAGTACAGGCTAAGGTATGTTTGAAAACATAATCAATTTCTTTTTGTTGTTCCTGTTTTAGACATTTTAGGTTAATGGAATCAAATATACCAATTTGAGTTTAGCCAAATTACTTTATCCACGGCAAAACACGATTTTTCAAGCTTCAGTACGCGAGGCTTCATTTTGTACAGATTTCCACTCCGATCGCAACAACTTTACCATTGTTTAAAAATTCACAATTTTGTCCTACATTTTTAATGAAAAAATCCAAACCCCTTTTGGCTGCTACTTTTACGGAAAACAAATTGTGTTTCATCTCCGGTGTGAATGAAACGTATTTTAAAATTTCAGAAAGCCACTTGTTATCAACGAAAGTCTATATTTTCTCCAAAGCAATTAGTGTATGTTTTTGTGTCAAAACTACACCTACAAAGGGATGAAACTTTTTATGGAGAAAAACTCTCTCTGAAAACCTTTGAAATAGGGTTCTTTAAAAATAAAATTTTAACTATCTTAACCTCACTTTTTTTAGTGACAAATTTAGTTCCTTAATATGTAAAGCCTTTTTCATATTTAAAGCGCAGTTTACACAATCATGGCCTACTGTTATGCCAATTTAAATGAAATGGGTTATACTTTGCGTTCTTAATAAAGAAGTCATTTTGAAAAAGAGCTCATTATGAAACGCAACATTTTATTTTTTAAGATTGGTATCAGGTGTAACCCTGAGAAAATAATAAAACAAACAGCAGAATCTCACAGTAGAAATTATTTTTATTAACGAGAAAATTTAAGTTCACTTTTCCGTCGTTTTGTATATTTTTATAATCTGAATCGTCATGTCGTAACACAAAATTTTCTAAACAGCAAAATTTTGATTTTTGAGCCATAATACAGCAGAGTAAAAGAATAATCTAAAGAACTCGTTTTGGAAGACGTTTGTCAAACTTAAACGTTATAAAACTCGCCGCTACGCGGTTCGTGTTCTACACTTAACTTTCAATTATGATACAGGGATGTTCCGTCTAAACCCCATATTAGAAGTATTGAGAGTTCGAATAATCGTTCTCCTAAACGAAAATATTTTTAAAATGGCGGCATTTCCGATTATACCGGAAGTTAGTCTCAACTTTCTTATTTTAAAATGAAAGGTATATTTTTTATTGCATTTCTGGATTAACAGGATTATTTTAAGGGAGTTTTCATCAGCTTTCCCTATACCTAAATTTAGCCGTTTTTGAAATATTTGGAGTTTTTTTTTTAAATTTTGGATTTGCACTTTCCACTTTAAAAATCGGTATTTGATTTCCATAGCAAAAAATAACTTGAAAATTCTTAACTTTAGGTGTAGGAAATGTTAGTACAGATCGATGCAGAATTAAATTCTCTTTCATTTAGGGAAAAAAAGATTGGGGTATTTTATTTGAAAAAATTGAGTTATGAACAATTAAATTATTACAAAAGTAACCTTAAAATTTTGGTGTTTTTAATTTTTTTTCAAAATTTGAAAACTCCCAGAAGAAAGATCTAAGCCTTCTCTTTCAAACGCCAAGAAAACGAATCCAAAACTTTAAAGAATGGCAGAGTTACCGATTTTTAAATTGGAAGGTGCAAATCCAAAAATTTTTGATTTTCATTAAAAAAAATAACCGTTTTTTATTTTAGATACAGCTTCAATTTTTTTGTTTTCATTAATACTTTTCTTATTAAACAATAATAACAAAAAAAAATTCTTCCACCTTTTTTTGTAGTTTCTCGATTTTCAATTTTTTTTTTATCAAAATTGACATCTTTTTCATGCAACTAACTAGATAATAACTAACTAAACCGACCCCATAAAAAGTTTACATTTAATTGCTCCCTTAAACATTTATTTATGAAGCTGTAGTGTCTTGTTTATGGACGACAACTATTTCCTAAGTATTACTGGAGTAAAACAGGCAATCCGAAATTTAAACCCTTTACTACTCTAATATTACACCAACTGCTACAATATTTCAGTTTTATGTTTGTCTTTAATAGTTGTATGTCAAGTCTTTATTTATTTTTTTAAATTTTCGAATTTTAACAGAATTTCATTTAATACATAAAAAATTACACAAAAAAATTTTGCTGACAGTGCATCAGGAATTCGCAAACACTCTGCACGATTACAATAAATTATTCACACTTTTTTCCAACTGAAGTTCCCATTTGAAATTTTAATCGATCTGCACTAGACATTTTCATCGTCCGGTGATTATTTTTTAATGGACGTTGTTATCTCCTGACAGTCTTATTTACAACTCGAAAAAAATCCACCAACTCAACATTCAAATATTTTTCCCTCCAAAATAAAACAGAAACGTTCCGACTGAACGAGTCCCTTGTTATTTCGCCCTCGCATATCTCCCGTAGTGCATGTCGCCAATTTAAAGCATGGATGCTTGTGGCAGAAATGTGAAAAAAGACATTCAAAAATGGATCCGAGCTGAATTTACCTTTCGGTGGCGTCTCCTTCGGCCCGCCGGATCTGGCCAGCTTGACTGAACACGTATATCCTGGACGTATCCTTGTACCATTTGACGCTGTGCAAGGTGCCACATTGGTTCACGTCCACCCTGCAAGGCAGGAGCACATTCGTCCCTACAAGTGCTCGAACTTCCGTCTCCTTCGCCGCTGAAAAGAAACGACTTTTATTGAAAACAAGCCAACTTTGCGACTACGAATCGAAAACGCGAAAACTTTTCCAATTATGGAACGTCGTCATAACACCTTTGGCAAATATGTAATCTAGTAATTTGATGAAGTCAATTAAAATTTGTTCGATTCCAGTTTGATTTTGTAAAAAGAGTTGCATTTTTTTTAATTCATTCAATTGACCTGATTTTGTTCCATGAATCGAACAGTGCAATAAACATTTACGGACGAAATCCAACAAAAACAACTAAAACGTCTGCACGAATTTTTCGCTCGGTGGATCTTATCCATGCGGAATTCACGCCAAAATTACAATATTTTTACATAGTTTAAATTACCCCAGATGCTCATATGCACGATTTATCGCATTTTGCAAATGTCTTGGAAACGAAAAGTTTAACATTTTACAAAATTTTTAAAAATTAGTAACCTCGCTCTGGCCGATCCAGGGGTGTGTAATCGGTCGATAACTTTTTTGTTACTTGATATAATTATAGAGACCAGATTTTAGGACGTTAAAAAATGCAAATAGAAATTCTAAAAAAACAGTAAAAACATAAAATGGGACATTATACTAGCAAAATAGGTAACAGAATTCTAAAAAAATAAAAGTTTTTTAATTTATAATATCTCAGACAATTATATATGTTTTATACAAAATCTAATTCAGTATGTCCCTTGACTTAAAGCAAAATTTGTGTTTGAAAAACTTGAAAAAATGTGTATTTGCAACACCAATATCTTATACTGTTTCTATGATTCATTTAAGCTTGCTTGTTATGTTGCTGTTAAAATATGCTTCATCTATAAAGTACGTCGTCAACAGGAATATATCTTATAAGTCTAGAAAATACACTAATGCATATTTTTGTCAATTTTGACATTATTTTGACATAATAATAATTTCCGAATTTAGAAAATTTCTGATTCAATATTAGTGTTGCAAAAAATCTTGAAGTTTTACAGTTTAAAAATTTCAGCCGATATTAAAATTATTTAAAATTATGATTTTAGGACAAAAAAGGTTATATTTATCGTTTTAGCACGAATACCGGATTTTAGGATTTTAGAACACAAAATAATTTATGTACAAATTCTATTTCATCTAAAACGTTTAAAATTTTGGGTCTCATCCACGGGCTTTAAATAGAATCAAAAAGGGATTTTATTTAAAATCTGGTCTCTATTGATATACAGGGTGATTTTTTAGGGTCTACATTAGAAACTACTTCTTAACTTCTAATGCAGATTGGAATTTGAAATTTTGTACACAACTCCAAATCAACCAGTCTCAGTTCAACTAAATTATTTTCAAAATGACTGAACTTCCGGAACGACAAGAAATTGGCGCCAACACTTATTTTTATTGCATTTCTAAATTCTCCTCTCCAAACTGAGTAAAATTTACCTAGTTGTTAGTACTTATCAGTCACAGTTTTTAACATGTCAGTTTTTTAGTCAAAAATTTTTATTTGCAAGGGTTCATTTAACACATCACAGCTCTTGAACCTTTTGCGATAAGTGAATAATTCTTTTTGCATTTGATAACTAAATGATGATTAACGAACAACTATAACTCAGTTTTTTTCAAATGAAATAACTCTATTATAAACTGTAAGAGATGGGTATAGGACATGTTAATCAAAGTCCTTCTACAAATCGATTGTCGTTGAGAAAATACGATATTTTTTTTGAAAAAACTGAGTTATAGCTGTTTGTTAATTATCATTTTTAAAAAATCACATTAGCTTTGCAATTTGACAGTTAAAAATTTTGAAAATTTTAGAAAGCTTTTCGAACCTTAGGTTATCGAATGCAAGAAAAATTATTCATTTATCGCAAAGAGTTCAAGAGCTGTGATGTTTTAAATGAACCCCTGCAAATGAAAATTTTGACCAAAAAATTGACATACGTACAGGTAAGTACTAACAATTAAGTACATTTTACTCAGTTTGAAGAGGAAAATTCAAGAATGCAATAAAAATAAGTGGTTACCATTTAAAATTTCAAAGTTGGCGCCAATTTCAGATAGTTTTGGAAGTTCAGCCATTTCGAAAATAATTTAACTGAAATTAGTCGATTTGGGTTGTGTAAAAAAATTCAAATTGCTATCTGTATTAGAAGTCAAGAAGTTCCTAATGTAGATCTTAAAAGAATCACCCTGTATTGACATACCGTTTTGAACATCTGGTGTAAAAATATTTTTATTATATACAGGGTGTTGTTTACAGTGTAGTAAGGTTTTTTAAATTTTTTCGTAAATATTCATAGCCGACTACGCAGAGATTTTTCAAATGTAGATCTTTTTTATAAGAAAAAATTAAATAATACCGAAACGGAAAGAGATAGACCTAAAAAAGTTTAAAGAAAGTACTATTAAAAATGTATAGAGTGTTCCATTTAAAAAAATATAACCTTGGTTCACTGCTTTGAATACAACACCCTGTATATAATAAAAATATTTTTAAATAGTGCACTTTATGTAGATCTAAAAATGTTAAAAACGGCATTCAATACATCAAACAGCAAAAGAGTTATACACCGATTACACATTCCCGGGTCAGCCTGTATGTGGATAGATGAAACAATGCGAATTCCCATAATGTCGTTGACTAGAACCGTATTCACTCCATTAGTCCGCTTTTTAATAAAACTTCATTGTTTCTGTGGTATTGGCTCATTTTTATCGCACAATCTACTCCTCTGAATAGAATTTTTGTAACTCGGAATTTCCTATTGTAATTTATTTTTCTACTTGACACAAACACTACCGTTTGATATTTTCACGTATCTGAACATATTGTAATTGGTCGGAATTTCCATCGTCTCCTTGATTAGATTCATGCATGATATTCGATGATTCGTGATAGTTGCTCCGGAGATGACACGTTCCGCTCCGGAATGTATTCCGGACACGTACTTAGTTCACGCCGACTCCGGTAGATGCGTGATGTGAGACACTGTGAAATCCCTATGTGTTACTTCCACCTATGGGACGCATGAATGCGACGTAGACGGAATTCTACTCGAAACTTTGAATAAAGTCGAAAAATCTAAATAAATTTTGAAAAGCAAACTCATCAAAATAAAAAAGGAAACAATACAAGCTAAAAAGCTTTTAATGACACTCATTTCATTCATTTAACAATGCTTTTGGAATTATATAGTGCACAGATAAAATCTGATAATTATTGAAAAATATCCAATGTAGTTGTGGAGTTTCCTACATGATAATTTGATAATAATTACAGTGCTAAGCCAGTACGAAAAGTTGAATAGCATCAAACGTATTGTACTTTGTGGAATCAATAAATAAACCATTAAATTCACTCAATTTTGACTACAGCGACAAAAAAGAAACTAATCGTCTCTCACAAACGTTTCGCTTGAACTATTTTCAAATTTAATAAATTATCAGAAAATAAAAAGTTTTCATATTTCTTTAAAGTGTCGACGCTCGCAGTGACAAATGTCCTGTCATCTCTTCATGAACTACTTCTATATATAGTATTCAAGCAATACATCAGTGACAGTTGCAAAATCACCAAATCGCTGCGATATTACCTTAAAACATGTTTCGTCCTTCACCTAAATATTCAATAAGCGTGAAAGCGGTCCAGCAATATGAAATACCCATCCTTTCACGCTTCCGTTGCCTAATCTCTGGCTTTAAGGTGATATATGTAAGGATTAGCGAACCAAGTGACCAAGCTTACAATCTAAACATAGATAATGTTGATTTGCGACAAGAAGACGGCTCGATTCTCCCCTCTAGATCCGTCTCCTATACGGCAGCTTTTCCATTACCATCATATCGGCTTATTAACTCAACGGAAAAACTAGCCACCCTTGTTGAAATTGCTGTCAGTGATATGTAAAAAGCAATATATAAAGGGATGAGGGACACGCCTGTTTTGATTCGTTTTTAATATGGTAAACACGAATTTTGTGGGGTGTTATACTCCGATTAACGAATGTTTTAGAAGCCATAACACTTACTCCAACAGAGTAAAGTGACAAATTCGCAGTAGTTTAGAAGTTATAGTCGAAAATATGTTTTGCATATTTTTGAATTTACCAGAATTTTTCACAATAACTATTTATTGATAATAGACAAAAATTCGACAAAAATCAAAGAAACTTTTAAATTGATCCATATAACATTTTTAGAGTTTCTAGCAAAACTGTATGTACTTCACACATAATATTTTGACGTAAACATGGGTATATAAAATATTCCGGGAAATCGATTGGCGTCCAGAAAATTATATATATATTTATATTTATATATATTTTTGACTGTTTCTCGATAACTAATCTTTTTGAAAATGATAGGGAATTAAATTTGCTTTACAATGATTATAAACTGTAAACACAAACAGCTAGCGCCACTAATTTCGCAGTTATTGGCAATAGACCGCTCCGGGTAGGAAAAATCGACAATAATTTTGTCAAAAATTTAAAAACTGAAAACTTCAAACTGATCAAAATGCACTTCAAGAAGTCTAAAAGTGTATAAAACGTCGTAGAAATAGACAACAAAAATTAAAATTTGCGTAAATTTTTTATGAATATATTAGACTAGAGGTGGCGTAGTGATAAGAGGTCATTACTTCCCGCAGGTAGGTCCGGGGTTCAAATTCCACAGAAGTTGGCAATTTTTCTCTAATTCAAATTGAAACACTATTTCAAATAAGTAATAAAAGATGGCGGGCGCACAAGTGTGCGAACTTTAAAACATACAGGATACGCCAGAACTCGCGCCCCAGAGAAAAATGCCATGTAAGATAAGATACCAAGAACATGAAAAAAACTCTACTTAACATTTTAACTTAATTTAACAGTTGACATAAAATATACAGTTCAGGTTGGGAAATGGCCACTTACCAACTTAAACTGTCATATTTTTTAAAATTTAAAAAATGTCTTATTGACTTTCTGTTGTTTAAGAGTAGAATGATTGTGAATAAAATAGTATA